GTGCTGCAGCCCTGAGGCTCGGTGGCGCGGTGCCATCCCGATGGTTATGGTGGCTTCACAACGGTTCTAGTGACATCCTGAGGGTCCCAGTGCCATTCCCAGGGTCCCAGTGGTTTCTTGAGAGTCCCAGTGCCATTCCAAGGGTCCCAGTGCCTTCACAGGGTCCCAGTGCCTGCCCAGGGTCCAAGTGTGCCCCCAGCCCAGAGCCCCCTTCCCAACAGGCCGCGTTGCCCCAGGTCCCCTCCTGTTCCCCCAGGTCCCCTCACTCCTGTCCCCCCTGTGGCAGCTGCTCCCCTCCCGGAGCTCTTTTCCAGCCTTTGAGCTCTGCTGTCCCAGCCCTGCTCTATCCGGGGCTCCCTCAAGCTCCAAAGCTGCCAGGGTTACTCTTTTCTCCCCTCCTCATCCATCTTTCCCCCAGCAGCAGATCCCAAGGCTGCAGCACTGGGATGTGCTGAGCCTGCAGAACATAATTCCAAATGGCAAAGGGAAGACTTTTTATAGCTCGGGACATCCAGCTCCAGTGTGGTGTGTTTAAAAGTGAGAGATCGTTGGAGACCTGGGACCCTCAGCAAGGGTCTGCAGCAATTTGGGCACTTCAGGGTCAAAAAGACATGGACAAGGGGGATGGACAAAGCATTTCCATCACAGAGGAGCTCTCAGCTAAACACAAATCCCTGCTGGATTCTGCTGCAGGTGCTGGCAGGAGTTTGCAGAGCCCAGGAACCCTCTCTCCTGCATGAGCTTCGTATCCAAACACTTGGATTCCTTGAAGCCCTTGAAGACAAAGAGAACTAGAAGTGGTGCCAGCCCTGCAGGAACACGCTGGACTTCCTTTATCCTTCCTCCAAGCTCAATAAAGCTCCTCGGCAGAGGAAGCCGTGTTGGCTCCCCCCACACGACAGTTCTGCTGAATTTAAAGGTCGCGGAGTGCCTGCTGAGAAAACGTGGCTAATAAAAGGCACAGAAACAAGTGCAGTGCCAACAGATTAAATTCCCCTTGTAAGACACGGAGCAGAGGGCTCAGAGCTCTGGAAAGGTCACTCAGTACGGGGCTCCTTTAAAGACACACAGGGACGAGGCGAGTCTGGGAAAAGCAGCTGGGAAGAGATGAATAAAATCTCACAGCGTGTCCTGGGAAGCCCCAAACGTCAGAGGAAGGGAGGCCTGGGGTGTGTGGGGCACAGTGCAGTCCTGGCCTGGCTCCTGCTGGCCCCAGGTGAGGACTCTGGACCCGGCTCAATGTTGCAATCCCAACCCACCATAGTCCTGCGGCCAAATTTTAATCCTGGAACCGTTGCTGAGACAAAGCAAGTGGGACACTGTGTGACCTTGGGGCTAAAGAGGGACCTACAGGGACGTTCTTGCTGTTTCTGGGACAGCACAGGAGGGTGCAGAGCCAGGAGGGAACGGGCAGTGCCCTGTTCTGAGCACTCAACAAGTCCAGCAGGCACCAACCTAGCGACAGTGATGCACTGGAGAGCATCTCCCATCTCCTCTCCATGTTTATTGTTATTTCAAAGGAACACTGCTAGTCAGAGACCCCTTGGCTCTGGGATTTGAATGGGGACAACAGGGAGCCTTGCAGCATTCCAGCCTTCCAGCCCAGGTAGGATCAGTGACTGCTGGACACTCTGGCCTGAGCAAACAGCTCAGAGGAGCAGAGGGACAGGTGGCACCTGTCCGGACAAGGGGCAAATTTCACAGGCTCAGAGTGAGGCCCAAGACCTCTGTCCTGTCCTGGGATGTTGCACATCTCCATGTACCTGTTGTGGATCATATGCCAATTCCTGCCCCCGTGCCAGAGGGCAGCGTGCAGCATCCCCACATGAGGAAAGTGTGAGAGCTCCTTCCTCCTGTGACAACAGGGGAGCTCCCCAGGGCTGGGGCCAGGTCTGATGGAGAGAGCAAGAGCTCTAAACAAACTCCAGCGTGTCCCTGGGTCAGCAGGAGCAGCTGGAGGAAAGCAGCACATGGCTGGGGGGCAAGGAATGCCATTGTCTGTGCTGGTGCTGCTTAGAAAGATCCTCAGTGCCTCTGGAAGTCCTGAGAGCTCCACTCAGCAGGTGGAGCCTGGCAGGGGACTGTGCCCTCTCCACCAGACAGGGAATGCAAAAGCAGCAGCAGGTAGGGAGGAGCTGGTGCCACCCGTAGGGGCTAAGAAGGAGCACTTGGGACACTTTTTTCCCTGCCAGGCAGTGCCCAGGCAGTGCCCAGCCCTTATCTATCATGATGGCCTGGCAGAGTCCTTCCCAGAGCTGAATCCACTGTGAGGAAGTGGAAGGAGGAAGATGCTCAGCCCTACTCAGGGCAAACCTCGGCAGCAGCAATTAAATGAGCCCTTCAAAGAGAAGAAGAGGTCAGCAGGTACCTCTGTGCCAGGCTCAGTGTCCAGGGCAGTGTCCGGGGCTGGGGAAGGGAACCTCTGCTCTTCCAGCAGTCTGCAGAGGCTCCCAGGAGCCCCAGACTCCTTCCAAGGCTGTGGCAGCAGATGAGGTCGGTGTGGGCAGGAGCTCTCAGCACATCTCAGCAGGCAGAGCCCCTTACATGTGCTCAGGGTGGTTCTGCAGACACGTGATGAAGTCGGTGACAGGTTTTCCCTCGTAGCAGATCCGATACACAGCAGTGAAGAGGGGGAACCTGTGGGCAGACAAAGAAAGTCACCCCAGATGGCAGAGTCAGAGCACCTTGACTTCTGTCATGGCATGCAGGAGCAGCTGGGCCAATGGCACTGTGCCCATCCTACAGGCCACTCCTGCCCAGCTTTCCCCTCCTGCTGCTCCTGAAAAGGTCCCAGCTCCACCCCAACAAAGCACAGAGATCCCAGCACTCACTTCTCCACTGCATTCTTGCTCTTGAGGATTCGATGCAGCTCAGCAGATGTCTGGGGACCCTGCAGCTTCTGCCCATTCAGCATCTCCTTCTCCAGCTGCTCGATGGACTGAAACAACACAGCAATGAGGAGCTGGAGCTGCAGCCCTGCTGCTGCACCACGGTCCTGCCCTGGAGCTGGGCTGCAGCACCAGCCAAGCACAGGCAGATCCCACAGCGAACCTGCTCAGTGCCCATCCACCCTGTGGGTGAATTTTTCCTGCTCTCCCACCTAAAGCTGCCCTGACCCAGCTTTGTCCACACACTTTTATCAGTGTCAGCCGCTCCCAGCTCTGCTCACCTTCCCGGTCTTGGCAAAAGCCTCGGCCACCTTGCGGTTGCGGCCCCCGTAGCAGGTGGTGATGAGGTCGGCAACGCCGCAGCTCTCCAGGAAGGTGGAGGAGGTGACAGGGCCCTTGCAGAAGAGTTTGGCAAAGCCAATCATCTCCATCAGGCCCAGGCGGATCACGGCAGCCTTGGTGTTGTCACCGTAGCCAAGCCCATCACAGAAACCGGCCCCGACAGCCACCACATTCTGGAAAACAGTGCCAATGTGATGTGGAGGGATCTGTTCCCAACAGAGCCTGGGGCTTGGCAGTGTGATCCCACTGGCTGCTGTCAGTGCCCACCATCCCTCCTCTCCCCCCCAGCTCCCTGCAGTGCCCCAGGCTCTGCTCACCTTGAGAGCCCCACAGATCTCTACAGTGTCAGCTTCCTGCACCACCGACACGCGGAAGTTGGGGGTCTGCATCAGGTCCTTCAGCATCTGCCCGTGCTTCATGTTCTTGCAGCCTGAGGAGACAAAGGGACGAGGAAGAAGATGATGGGGAAGATCCATGAGGAAGGTGCATGCTCTCCTGAAGGTCGTTCAGTGAGAGGAACCTATTGCCCAACCATTGTTGCAAAACAGTTGCAGGTCCACACAGAGTCAGGCACACACTGCCTGACAGATAAGCAATGTTCAACTTTGACATTCCCAGAACACGGGACAATCCATGCTGCTGTCACGCAAGACAGAAATGACTTCCTGAATGCTCAGTTGGTTAAAGGCATCTACAAAGATTGCAAATTTGGGGTTGCAGCTTTCTGTCCTGGTTGTCCCTGCAGGGTCCTGTGTGCTCACAGGGGTTGTGGGCTCTGTTCCATCTCCCCAGCCTCCTGCCCAGTGTGTTTGCTGTTGTTTAATAAAACAACACTTTGAATGCCACAACTTCTGACCCAGCAAATGGTTCTGTTTGTCTTGGCTTTGTGCACAGTCCCCAACAGTGTGGAGGGTGTTGGAACTGTCGCCAGATGAACTTCCAAGCAGCCCTGGCTGGCAATAACGTCAGATCCAGGTGGGCATCCTGTGAAGCCCAAGGAAATCAAGGATGGAAATTATTCCTAAAGGGCCTCTTGCTGCCCACCTCTTTAATTTGTGCCAGGCAGCTGCCTGATGCTGGCTCCATGCTGGCAGGAACTTTTAGCTGCACAACTCCATTGTTAATGAAGGGAGTGATCCCATCACAAACCCTGGGAATGAGCTCAGCCAGCTCCTATGGAGCCTCCTGTCCTCCCAGGGAACAGGGCCAGTTCACCCAAGGCAGCAGGAGTTTGAGCTGCACCATACTCCACCCTTTGCCTCTCCCTGCTAATCACAAATGGAAGCTGCTAACGAGGAGGGCTCCTTACCAATGGTGGTTTCACAGAACTTCTCTTCTGCCACTTCATTGGCAATATTGGCCCCCATGAGCACGTTCATTTCTATTCCCAGTTTCTCATGGATGATGTCTGAGATCAACCTCAGCCCATCTGGTCCTTCATCCACGCCCTGGGGGACAGCCAGGGAGAGAGATCACAGCATCAATTACACTGGGACAGATCTCTAAGGACATTGAGTCCAACCTTTGACTGAACACCACCTTGCCAACCAGACAATGAGCAGCTGCCCCTCCTGGACACCTGCCCTGCACCCAATCCTGCCATTCCCTGTGCTGCAGTGCTCTGGCTGATCCTGATGTGCAGAGCTGTGCCCTGCTCCTCTCAGCACTGAGATCCCCCTTATCCCTCACCCTTCTCCCCAACACCTCCAAATCCCCACAAAGACTCTGCCCCCACTTCCCTTCTTCCCCCCACTGCCCATTTCTGTTCCAAAATCCCTGGATTCCCTCAGCAGCCACTCCAGGCTGCTTCCAGCTCCCCTTCCTTGGCCTCACACCCTGGTTAGCACTGTTCCCACCTTGATGAGTGACATCCCAATGGCCTCTTTCTTCACGTGGCCCTTGAGCTGGTCACAGACTTTGCCGATGAACTGGTGGGGCACCACGAACAGCAGGACATCAGCCCCTGCGCAGGCTTTGAGCAGGTCTGGCTCTGCCACCTGAACAGAGCGTGACTGTTGTTAGGGACTGGGAGGATGGATGGCAAGGAAGGGCCCAAAGTCACCATGCCGAGGTCCCTGCCAGCAGAGGGGCTGGTGGGATGATCCCAGAGCACAGGGGATGATGCCAGCTCAGAGGCAGCCACATGGCCTCCAGCCCAGCCTGAGGGATGCCAGAGCAGGGTCAAAGGTGGGCAGTGAGAGCAGCCAGGGCTGCAGCTCATCCAAGCACAGATGAAGGTCAGTGGGAGGGCATAACTGAGCCCCGCACAGCCCGGTGCATCCCCTGCTTCACACCCGGGCTTCCAGCAGCCCCCCAAAGCCCGGCCATCAGCTCTGCCCCTCGAGACACTGCTGGCAGCCCACACTCACCACGTTGGGGGGCAGCTTGTGCCCCGGCAGGTACTTGACGTTCTCGTGCTCCGTGTTGATGATGTCCGTGAGCCGCCGGCCGCCCACCTCCTCCTCCAGCACCCACATGTTCACCTGGCTCTCGAAGCTGCCCAGCCGAGCTGTGTTGCTGCCGGCGATCTTGGCGATGGCCG